TTTCACCGCATTTTCTGGAGAGCTTATACAGTTCAGAAGAAATTTTAGTTTTGTAACTAATAGCCATATTCCAACAATTCTGGAGGCAGCATACACCTTACACCAACATAATAATCACGTTTTTCTATGTGTCTCTGAATATGGGCATTAATGTTTCCCAGCTCTTTTACTAGAGGTAATGGGCAAACCTAAAAACAAAGTTTGGTCCAACAGAGAAAACATGGGACTGTGTGTCACGGGACAGGTTCTATTCCTGATTCACTCAATGACCTTGGAGAAGTCATTTCAGCTCGCTGTGCCTCATGGAGCATAGGTCCATCAATGGCTATTAGCCAGGATGATCGGGGATGCAACGCTATGCTCTAAGTGTCCCTAGCCTCTGTTTGCCAGAAGCAGGCGACAGGGGATGGATCACTAGATAATTGCCTGTTCTGTTCATTCCCTCGGAAGCACCTGGCATTGGCCACTGTCAGAAAAAACGTGTGCTAGACTGGGCTAGATGGACCATTGGTCAGACCCAGTATGGCCGGTCTTATATCTCATTTTTCCCCACTCTGCAAAAAAAACAGAGCACAGCAATGTCTCTGAATGGGGCTTGGAAATCTACTGATGAAAAACTCAGATATTTATTTATTTTCTCTGTCAGTAAGTAATGAAGGTCACATTTGCATACCACAATACTGGTGTTGCTCTATGTTCTGTCTCCACTGTATTGGAGTGTTCCAAGATCTGCTTTAATTCAGGCTGCAATAATTACAAGGGACTTAAAACATAGCTCAGGTTCAGAATGGCATCGAGGCATCTCTGAGCAAGCTCTTTAACCAGTCAGTCTTGCCAGCACACCAACAGAGGGGAGCTGAATGAACATCAGTGGCATTTCACATACTAATTCTACATGGAAGGTAGAAATATGCTGTATTAGAATTATTTGTATTACCAGAGCACCTACAAGCCTTAGTCATGGACCAGGACCCCACTGGGCTATGTGCTACACAAACAAAACAAAAAAAGAGTGCCCGTTCCCTCACGAGCTTGACAGGATGTAAATATGTTAGTGTTATTACACCACAGTTGAGCATTATCACACTCTGATACAGTATGTGGAGAACTAGATACACAGACCAGTAGACAAATAAAATGAGTGTTCTGTTAACTACGAGATTAGCTTCTTGCTTATTCTTATCCCAATAGTTTACACTGTAACAATGGCTTTAAAAATAGCTTTATGGTATATTATTATGTAAACCCTCACAAATCCCTAAATTTCATAATTCCCTGACATACATGTAAAACCATTACATAAGAACTTTGTACTGCATTTGTGGGCATCACTGCACTGTTTTTCCAGTAAATAGCTTTCTAAAGGAAAGAAATGCACAGACTAAATATATGGTGAATATATTAAATTACCCAGATGCATGATGGAATGGAGTGCTATAACATCTTTGGTCACCTCTCACTTCTGATTCTACCACTCATGAATAATGCAGTAAAGTTATGACACTAATACAAATTACCTATACATTCCATACAATCCCCTCTCCCCCCAACCTAGAAACCCATACACCCCACAAGACAGAAGAAATTAGGGTTAATGCAACTTTATTGTTGAGAAAAATCAGGTCACAAAATGAGAAAAGATTAAGATTAGTTTTCAACGTCAAGTGCAGTTCTACACTGAAAAGTGACTATGTAAAAAAGTCTTACTGAGATCTGCCCCCTGGGTGACTTCAGAGTCATATTTTTATATTACAATATTTATTTCAGTCCTGTTGGCCCTGCAGAACCAGTACAGCCAAGACTGAGTTCACATTACACCAGTGCAATTATTCTAACGGGCATTAAAAATAAACCTTGCTGAAAGAGTTATTGGTTTTCTTAAACAGAGATAGAAAGTTGTCTGCTTCTCCATTTACTAGCCTCCAAGTAAAAGTCCCTCAAAATAGATCAAAATGATGCAGAGGCAAAAATGGATCCTGAAAAGAAATTAAGAATTATACCGGAAAGGATCAATCATTCACTTATTTTGCTATTCAAGAACTGTTCAGGAATTTGACTAGAGGGACTGCTTGACTTGGGACATTATTAGTGGGGACAAAGCCTATTGCAGCCAGATTTTGTAAACACTGCTCTTTTTTGCAACCACAATCTGCAGGAAAAGTATAACTACAGGGACCACATATGTAACTTAGATGTCTACCCAGTTGCACCGGAAAATTGGATACTTCAACATTTGCATAAAAAATTTCATCCACTTGCAAAATTGTGGGCAAGAAAAGGGAGACGAGGCTGAGGCAAGACTGGTAAAATTGTGAGAGCCCCAATTTAGAAGTAAAGGGTTTAATTTTTAGACACCTACTATTATCCAAAGAACTAAGCCTTTTGGCCCTGAGTAACATGAAAGGCTGGCTGAGGAAGAAGCAAACCACCACAGAAGTCTAGTAGCCAATGCTCTGGTGAGAAACCCAGCTACCAACAACTCAGATGGGGAAGGGTGATGGGATTTCTTACTGGGTGAAATTAACATGATTATTGAGAGTGGTACTGATGCCACAGGGTTCAGAGTAGCAGCAGCAATGAAAATGACCAGTATTGTTAATTTCATTTTGCTGCCTTTATCAACAAGTGGTAGAGGTGCTGCAAGCTGTCTGTCTGCCAAGTTAAGGGAAAAAAAACACTCTCCCCTCTGGTTTATGTTTGGATTCATATTTGGAAAGTTATCTTTGCAACCAAAATAGAACAATTTTTAACGAACAATTTACATATGGTCTTCACTTTTCCTAAAATTCAGAAGATTATTACAATTTCATACACATGATGCTTAGAGAATTATAGCTCATGAGCTTACATTTTTAATTTTTTGGGGGGTGGGGGAGAGAATTAGTGAAATGTTCAAGATAATTTAAAAACTAATAGAAAACTCTGCTTTCTCCTAGTAAGTGACAGGCACAAAAAGCTTCAAGGAGAATCTCTCTTCCTTGGTTATAAATTAGTACTGATCTCCTCCATGTGTGATTGGACAGACTCTGGAATGCAGCTTTATAGCTTCAATTTTGTTTTAATTGAGTTTTATATTTTGTTAGAGAGAGCGATCTAAGTACTAATGATTGTGGTTTTTGCTTTGAATAGAACATTTGGTAGGAGTATAACTGAAGCTAATGTAGACGGTCACAACTAGCCAACGGAAGTGCCTTCTCAAAGAGCAGGACACCTTGTTAAGGGATGGGAAGATATTCTAAGATTTCAAACACAAGTGATTCATAGCACCTGGTTTTAAAAATCCACAAAAAGGGGAGCAAGGAGCCTCTTGTTACTTTCTCTTTCCCACTTCTCTCTTCATTAAAAAACCAACCCCTTCAGTTTAAACCCACACAGAGAATTCTAGAAATATTCTTACGGAAATTGAATTGTTTTATAAAGTATTCTAAAGTTTTTATTTAACTTTATGAAAAACCCATATACACCGTATATACTCGTTCATAAGCCCAATTTTTTTTAGTAAAAAAAGGGAAGCATCAGAGAAGGGGGTCGGCTTATAAACGGGTATAAAGAGGGGAGAGGTGGGACACAGCCCCTCCCTCCAACAGAGGGGGCAAGGAGAGGCAGCACAGCCAGCAGAGCCAGAAGGGAAGAGGCAGGGCCAGAGTCTCTCCGCTTCTGGCCACGCTGCTCTCCCCCCCACAGCCTCCAAAGCAGCTGCAGCTCTGGGGCCCAAGCAGACTGCGGCTGCACCGCCTGACCCGGCCCAGCCCGGCTGAGCAGACTGCAGCCAGGCCAGAAACATCCTCCCCTGGCCCTCCCCAGCTAAGGTGGGAAGGGATGGGATGGGGAGAGTGTGGGGGGTCCCAAGCTAGAGGTGGGGTGGTCACAGGGGTTACTCCCCGACCCCCAGCTTCTCCCCCACAAAAATTTCCCCACCAGTTGCTGTCTCGGCCCATCAGGGTAAGCAGCTGGCGTGCCGGGACACTTTGTTTACTCAGGTTTACCTCCATGCCTGAGGATGCTCAAGGTAAACAAACCATCTTGGCCCGCCAGTGCCTTATCCTGATGGCCCACGAGCCAAAGTTTGCCAACCTCTGAATTACAGGGTCATAAATTATATGAATGAGTCATAAAAATTTTCCATTTTTACTTATCCATCTTGGGGTGGGGTCGGCTTATAAACGAACCAGCTTATGATCGAGTATATATGGTAGTTGGGAAATGTTTTGGTTACTTCTAACTTCTCATTTCCACATAAAGGTGAAAACTTTCATTTGTTTATTCCTTAAAGGCTTAAAAATGGTAATAAGTTTCTCTTGTGAGGTTCATTTTCAAATACATTGTATTTAAATACAAGCCACTATCACGTAGGTATTAACTGACTGTTAATGAAATTGCCTTTGTTTTAGTCATCACCGATACACGAACACAGAATTCATTACATACTTTCATCTTAGCTTAGCTAGAGAATAGTGACTCCATCTCTGGTGAGCCTGCTCTCAGAGGTTTAACCTCCATGGAAAAGTTCCCCACAGATACGTACAGAAGAGAGTGCGACTTAACTGACTGATTGTGTTTGTTTTGTTCCTTTTCTTTCTTTTTATTTTTATTATATTTTTATTTTAATAAAAAAATTCTAAGTATTTTGCTCGTCTTGAATGATTGTGTCACCTATCATAAAAATCTAATTAGACTAAAATAGTGGGGTCACATCGCTGAATTGGCAGAGAGAGGGAGAAAGAGAGAGAGAGTTAAGATTTACCTGTTTCCATAGATTATGAAACGTTCAGTAATTTGGGGGATAAAATTATTTGGTGCTCACCACCCCTTTCATCTCTACACCAGACTGGCAATAAATATTTTTTAACCTAGTGACAGCTAGTTGGTGACACGTGTGAAAAAGAAATTGCTGTTCTTTATCCATTACCAACTAAAAATCGGAAGGTATTTTTGACAACCAAAAAATCATTATAATTGTCACCCAAGTGAGCAGTCTCAGCAGAAGGGCTATGGATTGAATCGGCTTTATCGTTGACGCGTATCTACTCTACGTGCAGCTGAGCAGGGCGCTGCAGTTTGGCTACTGCCTGGGTGTCGGCACCTTCCCCTTCAACTCCTTCCTCAGCGGCTTCATCTCTGCCTTGGGCAGCTTCATCCTGGGCGTTTGCCTGAGGATCCAGATCAATCCACAGAACAAAAACGACTTCCAGGGCATCTCGCCAGAACGCGCCTTCGCCGACTTCCTCTTCGCCAGCACCATCCTGCACCTTGTCGTCATCAACTTCGTGGGCTGAGCCAGGGGACCATTTGGTCCTGACTACCTCTCATGGTCGGCTGATGCCATGCCCAGGGACAGATGTGCCAGCCACCCATGGACATGGGTCCTGCCCCTCATGGGGAAGGGCTGCAGCAGTGCAAACTGATGAGGCCTCTTGAGAAGATGGCAGACTCTTCCCCCCACCGCCTATGACCCCCTCTCCCAATAAACCCCATAGTGCTGGAGAAAAAAACAAAAACAAAAAAAACCCTCCAACCTCTAGGAAGAGGTTTCTCTGTCACAGGATCGAAGCATGTTCATGTTAAGCAGCTAGACAATTTCATTTTTCATGGATGTCCAACTGGTATTTTTAAAGAACATTACATTAATCTGGTTTAAACACTCCCTCTTCGCCCCCTCCCCCCAAAAAAAACAACGATCAATTGTCATGGTACAACTTATTCTAAGGAGACCACCTCTTCTGTTTGAAAGGATGGGTCCACTCGCGACCAGTCAGTCTCTTTGGGGAAAAACTCTAAAATGTCTCAGTAAAAAAAAGTTGTGTGTGCTCAAAGTACAGCTAACATAGCTGTTTGGAATTTTATTTCTAGCTATATACAAGGTACTTGATAATTTCAGTGGAAAATAGGAGCAATTTAGATGAGAAATGGCCATATCCCTCTGCTCACTTTGAGCCAGTTACTAGTATTCTTTGAGAATTAAGCATTTTATTAAATACACACATACTTGTGTGTTTTAACTTTATAGACACAAACATTAAATTCCACCCCACTATTTTTAAATTTTTTGTAACTCCTCTGCACTTTACTTCTTGTCTGTATTAGCAGTACAACATTTTTTAAAAAGGTAAACAAGATGTTTTTTGTAAATTCAGATTTTTATATTTTTAATGCCCCTAAAGTAAAATCCTATCACACACACACATACAAAAACAAAAAAAACCCAACCCTAGCATCCAGTTAGAAGAAAGGCATTCATTACTACTTCAGAGCAAGTTTTATCAATAAAGCATGTCCTTCGTTCTCTGACTTCTTGTACAAGTTACAACTTGGTATTTTTCAAAACAGCTCTGATCTGGAGCTACAAGCCATGGGTGCTAGAACTCAGAGCATGTTCACCTGCCAGCACAACTCGTTCTCATTGTCCTGCCAACCACATCAAGAATCAACACGGTTCAGTACATTTATGTAAAAGACAAGATGAAAGGAAAAATAATAGGAATGGGTTTCACTTCTGAATTGAACCCCCCCCCCATAAAGGCTCTATCTCCTGTCCAGAGTATAACCTATTGTATAAACAAACAAAATCCCCTCAGTCCCTATTTTTGCTAAAACAGCAAGCTATATAATGTTATGAAAAGTTAATTAAAACACTTGCACAGGGTTTCTCAAGCATTTCCATGAGTCTTTAAAAGGAAGGCTGCTCTTTTAAATTCTTGCCTCTACTCCAATGAGTGAGTTTATTAATCCCCCTTCCTGATGCTGTAATGATTCTCTTGTTTTAACGAAATGCACTCAATTTCCTCAATTTGGGGCACAGAGGAACATATATATTCAAGGCTGAACTTTTCAAAGAATTCAATGTAGACTTGTTTTCAAGCAGGTGTCTCAATATGTGACTCCACAGGGTAAAGCATCTGTGCATTGTATACTCTTATCAAACAAAAATGAAAATATTAAAAAGCTTCCTTTAAAACAAAATGATTTAAGAGCATGTAACTATTGTTTTTGTGCAATAATTCATAATCACCATGAATGTGTCCCCCTTGTGTGTGTGTATATATATACACACACACACAGAAAGAGAGAGAGAGAACCACTGTTCAGCTACAGTAAAATACAACAGTATGTACCATACTGGGATATAACCAGTCTTCAAGGACTGTGTTACTCTGTTTGGCTGTTCACCTAACATCACGCTCAAAGCCTGAGGATATTCCAGAGTAACGCACACCCTGTCTGTTTTAAGATATAGCAAGATCTACAAAAGGCTTTGGGGAATAGGTGGGCCTGTCCCAAGGTGATTGTTCAAATGAGGTGCTTCAGCCTTTCATGTTTATTTTCTGATGCTGGAGATATTTTGGATTTTCACCAAAGTTGGCATGAAAATTTTCATAGAGACAGAAATCATGGAAACACAAAGTTGCAGATAAGAACCAAGCAGAGCCCCAACTCGCAGCCTCCCATGTGCACAGCATACTTGAATACTGCCCTATGACTGGCCTGCCCACTTTCTAAAGATCAGAAGCAAGCCTAGTACAGCTTTGTTACAGGTGGTAAATACTCCCCATCAGAAAAGGGAAGCAGCGACCACCTATGTGAAGTACAAATTAGAGAAGTCTTACACCCAAGTGCCAGATCTGGAAGGCCAAATAAATAGGTCTGAAACCCAACCAAACTCGATTGAAATTAACGTTCATCCACATAAGGCAACCCATCTCACTTAAAGAGTGCATCCTAACCTGTACGGAAGCAAATCACAGTCTAAGAGATGAACACCACATAACCAGAGAATCACATGCATGCTCCCAGTGTGCAAGGGGTTTGGAAGTTTGGCAGGTAATGAGATATGCTTGACGCAACTGACCTTCCCACACAAGCAATATCAGAATGACTTAGAAGACAACTCACACTGTTTTGAGAGGCAGCTTGATGTAAAGAACACGGAAGTGGACTTAGAGTCAGGAGCCCTAGTTTTTCCTAACTATGTCAACCTGCCAGGTGATCTTGGGCCAAGGACTTAACTCTGTGCCCAGGAATGCTAAGTTATGCTTTCTCATCTCTCTGCCAGGATACAAAATTTGTTTGTGTTGCAAACACAAAGCCATTGAAATCCATGTGGATTTTCTCTAGTTTCCATTACCACTTTATAAGGAATAGTGCAATCAACCACAGTAATTTACACTGTTTCCACTAAAAACAAAATCAGCTGTGGAAAGGGGTGTCTTTGTTAGAGCCAACAGTTACTTCCTGATCCACTTCTCCCTGCTGACTGCCTTGCTCTGAAAGCAGAATGGGAGAGAGTGTATCCAGGCTGTGCAAGTGACCATGACCAGAAAAGCATGCCAGTTTTCACCATTCTTGGCCTGGCAGGAGAGAAAAATCAAGGAGGGCTCAAAATATCCCTTGGTCTTCTCACCTCCCTTCTCTCCCTCATAATTCTCATCTTGAGAAGAATGCTTTAAGTGGGGGGGGGGGCGGTGGAAATAAATAAAAAACAGTCGGCTTAAATCACTGTTAATGTAAACAATTAATCTCTTTTGTACTCAATTTCTGCAGGTGTATTATGCACACACATTCATTTGTAACAGCCCACACAGATAGAGGTGATAAATTGCAGAGTGGTGCAATAAGACTTAAAACAGGACTAAGGTGCACGATAAAGTGCAAATCTCAATGCAGCCTTAAGGAGAGAAGTAGAGGTTTAGTCTGAATGAGCAAGAATGGTGAAGTTCTCCAAGACTAGCTCCACCTTTTGCAACTGCTATGCTGATGTAGGGGGACTGTTGCCCCCTTACTAACATTCAGTGGGGGTGGTTTAGCTGCTGGCTCCCAGTACTCAAAGGGGAAGGGTCGATGGGGAATCAGGACCCTGAGACTGACAGCCCCCAGGAACAATGGGGAGAGGCCAATGCTCAAGGTCAGCCTGAATGACAGGGCGGGCAAGCTAATCAGGGAGTCAGGAGGCCAGGGAGGTCCCGTCCTCCATGTGAGCTGGAATTGCCTGGGTCAGACGGAGTGGGGCCGAGCTAAGGAGAAAGCAGGGGCCCAAGCTAAGCTGGGGAGCAGAGCTGTGCCAGATCCCGAGGGACCAGAAAAGCAGCCCAGAGAGAGCAGACCCTGTCCTTGGAGCAGAGCTGCAGCCCCAAAGCCAGAGGCACAGCCCAGAGAGAGCAGACCTGTCCTGGGAGCAGAGCTACAGCAACCAGAGCCAGAGGGGCCAGAAAAGCAGCCCAGGAAGCAGGTCAGTGCTGGGAGCAGAGTCACAGAAGCAGCCTGCAGAGCAGACCTGTCCTGGGAGCAGAGCTGCAGCATCCAGAGCCAGAGGGGCCGGAGAAGCAGCCCAGGGAGCTGGAGGCAGGGCAGCAGCAGTGCAGAGACAGAGTGGTGGAGCTGGGGCTGGAGCAGTCTGGAGCTGGGTGTGGTGAGCAGCTGGGGAGAGCGAGGGGCACCCTGGGCAGTGGGCCCAGCAGAGGGAGACGCCTCAGCCAATGGGCTCTGCAGGCCAGGCTTGGATCATAACCCTGCCAGGGTGGGGGCGGAGGTGACACTGGGAGGAAGGGTCCTACCACTTAGAGCCTGAGAGCGTGTGGCCACCACCAGAGCGAGTGTCCAGCCCACAGCATCCCTGCAGCACAGCCAGGGCCTGAGCAGGAGGCCTGGGACTTACAAGGAACAGACTGTGAACTGCCCTGACATTCCAGAGACACTGTTTGTGATGTTCCCTGCCACAGGGCGGGGTGATGTGTTTCCTTTAACCTTTCCCATTTGTCCTTATTCTCTTTAAAATTAATTGTTGATTAAATAACTTGCATTTGCTTTAAATTGTATGTAATGGTCAGTGGGTCAGAGAAGTGCCCAGTGCAGAAGAGTACCCCGGAGTGGGGACACCCTAGCCCCTGTCCTAGGTGACCACAGCAGGGTTGGGGGTCGAGCCCCCCAGGAATCCTGGGCCCAGCCTTGGTGGGGTTACGAGGACTCTGCCAGACAGGAGAGTGGAAGGGGCGTCCTCAAGGGCAGGGAGGCCACTGGGTAAAGGAAGTGGGAGCGAGGACTCAGATCCTTTCGCTAGCCCACTTCACCGGGGTAGCACAGAAGCCAGGAAAGTTCCCCACAATAGCGGAACTATTCCCCCGCTTACACCGACATATATTTTGGCTGATAGCTTGGCTACTGGCTCCAAAAAAAGGGCACACATCTCAAAGGATGGACAGGATTTATGAACAGAAAGATAACTTCTGGTAAGCCAGATCATGAGAGTAGGCCCAATCCCAAAAACTTAGAGAGGCCCAGTTTTCCGAAGTATATGATCAGACTATCCAGGAGCAAGAGATATAAAACAAAATGTCAATAACTTTACTAGCTTGACAAGATATGCAAACATTTCCAAGATATCTGGAGAATATTACATAATGTGGAGACTTAGTTTGTAATGATGGCTGGATTCAGTAGAATAACGGAGCCCAGGAGTGGTCTTTGGGTGGTGTTAGAAGCCCTTTTTATTAGAACTAATGCAATGCATTTCTTTTTCGTACCCCTTCTATTCATTGTTACAGG